ATGGTGCAAGAAAATACAAATGAGTGTCCTTCATGACTAACGGTCCGGTCAAATATCACGTGAATAAATCGCCGGTCAGAACACTGATTTTTATGACTTTGTTTTTGTGACAAACCAATAATGCGTTAACGAGCACTGACAGCCTTGCATCAACTCCGAGTCCTTAACGGTTCTCAAGATAGTGAATTTTCGCCTAGATCTGTCCGTTGATTCTAGTACAATAGTATCAGCTTCCACTGAATAAGTCGTCTACTTCACACATGCGTGGTGTATTTACGAGCGAACCAGATAGCATCACACAACAAAATAAAAAATCATACCCATACAAGATGAAGTTAAAAATGGCTGTGAGTATGTGGTGCTGTAACTAATAAATTGGGAATAAATTAACAATAGCAAATAGTATAACAGTAGCCAATTTATCAAATATTGGCATATGACAAAAGGAATACGAATATATGTATAGACCGGCTACTTAATAATTCTCCAGTAGGAATATATGTGGTGATACTTCGTTCGTAACACGATTTAATGAAGTATTTTGCATGATAAATCAGGATTAATACCTTAAGTACGTGACATCACACTAAACCATAAGGAGCCGTAATTAAACAAATTGTTCTGCCCTACAGACATGGGTGGATTGAATTTATCTCCCCACCATCATGTTTGCTGATCAGTAACGCCAACCTCCCTCCTTTTGTGATGTTATGATCTTTTACGTTTGTGGTAAGTATGAATACTGCTTCAATCAAAGCCCATAGTTGGAATGCACTGTCTCTACTAGGTCCATGTTACAAGCAAATCAGATAGTTAAAAAGTTTGTTTCATGGGTTAGATGTCCACACAGTATATCACACTGCTATGAAGATAACTAATGGTTTTAAGAAGTAAGGACTAATAACAAATCAAAGGATATGAGAGGGTATGAAATTGTAGAAAAGAAAAAAGATTTTAGGGTAAGAAAAATAAAACATTGAGAAACTCACAAGACTTTGTGGCCAGATTTTGAGCTTTGTATGATCGGCCTTAGTAGATCGGCATCCATAAGATTAGTGAGTTTTCTGTCTACTTGCAATAGAAAAAAAGAGGCATGACTTTTAGGAAGAATAATGCACATTTAGCCTGCAGTGGGATTTGGGAACTGAAAGTGAGGGTTAGAAGCATAAGGCCATGATTAATAAACAATGAATAATAGGAAGGGATAAGCCATATATTCTGTGATTTGGTTGTATTCATATTAATAACAGTCAGGCTTGTTATATTCTTGGATGAAATGGACAAACCTGATGAACACCATTTGAAGTAACCAGTTCTGATGCAAATTTGCCATAAGCTTTGACTCGACCATTAATGTTCAAGTGGAGGGTCTGTACAAGGTTAATGTACTTCTTTGGTACTCCTTTCAATAACGGACATTGTCATAGAACCTCACGGTCAACGAGCCGAACACTGCCTTAAGGTCAGTGCGTATAACCATTGCCGAACGTCAAAAGTATTTGTGTCCTGAAATTTGTCTAAGATGAATATTTGGCCTGTACATCCAAGTCCATGTCTCAAACTATCCTGATTTTTTCGAATTTACTTTCTACGATCTCTATTTGGACGTCGAAGTATTTTAGAGGCTAATATTTGAGAAACTATATTAGTTAAACTGACTTCCCTATACTTGTTACAACAATATTTTCGTCCATTCTTATAATCTGTGACGATCAGTGATAAAGACTAATCAGATAAAATTATATCCAGTCCTCAAACTGGGATGCTTACTCTTGCCATTCCTTCTGTTAGCGGAATAGATAATGGAGACCTCCATATCTTTCGGGGTAGCTTGTGTGAAGCTAGACTATTTGGACTCCCCAGATGACCTAGCTAGCTCTTCCAAACTAATTAAAGCAACAAATGCAGGTGAAGACAGCCAGTGCAGCAGCAGCCTACACAACGGTATGCCTCGACATACACGAGGGAAAAGGCGAGATTCCGAAACGTAACAAGGGGGAACACCAACCTAGTCACAACTGATGGAGAAACTCTAGAAGTGGTAGGGAGCCCACATACATTGGTTGCATGATCGGATGAAAAGGAGGATCTGATGCAGATGTAAAGACAAGGATTGTCAAACCAAGGACAGAATTTCTACAGGTGAAGTATATATGAAACTCAAAACAACTAACAGCCAACGTTGAAGTCAGATGGTTTTATTTCAGGGGACTGAAACTTGGGGGACGTCTACAGCCATCAAGAAAGTACATGAACTTATAAATAGTTATTCGTCAAAGATACTGAATGTCGGTTGGTCGGACACCACCAGTGGGATAGAACAAGCCAGCTGAGGAGGACTCTCTCAAACAGAGTTTGTTGGAGAATCCTATGCTCCTCCGCGATGGTTAACATGCGCTCACTCGTGCCATTGTGTTGCACAATTTCTATGACCCCAACCAGGGAGTCCTGAAGGAACGACAAATTTTAGTCATATACAGTTCTATTTCATATCACCTTCCCACCTTCTTAAATCAGTCCAGAGGTAAACAAATAAGGCTCGATTGGAATACAGTGAGTCGACACTTGTAGTACATGTCCAAAGCACGCAATTGATTTTCAGAATCATGGCATCAACTGAAGTATCGCCACCCTACCTGAACAAACGTCGTCGAAAGTCGGCATTAATGCGTGATTTTGCTACTGAATTTCATTAATCCTTCGAAAACAAACATCACTGAATGCACAGGGTTGACTAACATCCTCAATGTCCGGAGACAGACGAGATGAGTTTCTGAGTGTCTATCAGTTCAGTAGATTCGACTGAAATCTACTGACTTCTCCTAGCCTTTCGATTTGAGTTACTGGTAGATATCACTGCTTTTCCACAGCTTTTTGGATATCATGACAAGCTACCTCGAGGTGCGTATAACCTTCATAGTTGACCACCTCCTTCAGTGGTTTAAGAAGTAAATTCCTAACCTTTTCATCATAAAACTTCAAGACGTTTGTTTACTGTAGATTTTCTACGTCCAGACAAATACGTGCTTGGACTAGGAAATGTAAATGGACGACTATCTTAATATAGTTGCAGCAGACAATCGCCGTTATCCGTTTGCTGATCCGCGACACTGCAAGATTTGGGTAAGTGCCTTTCGGTTTGGTTTAGTCTACCTATTTGAGGTTTTAAATCATAGACGTCGCACATTCAGGAAATTAGGTTCATTGAGTCGAATCCAGAGTGTTAGAGCGCGCTTCTCTCTTTGAGGAGAGTGCTTTTATACCTAACGTTGTCATGTCAACCTAATGTCTCGCAAACCGGAATTATGATTAGTCTGCGTTCATGTAGTTATATGATTTGCCATATTATGATGTAAATTTCATTAAATAACTAGATTATTCTGTGAATTTTGGTGTGGCTGTAACTTTTGTTTGCCACGTCTAAGTGAGTTACGCTGGACATGCTGGAATGATATACCAAGTCACAGTAAGCTCGATCAAATCATTTTTTTAATAGGCCGTCAATGAATGATGTTACTGGAGAAAGGTTTGTTGTGCTGCAAACTGTTTTTTTGCGTAAATGACTGTTGTCTTCAGTCTCAAAATATCGTTTGTCTCTGTTAGGTGGGTCTTACTGGCTTATACTTCATGTTTTTGGTTTTTTTGAGGCTAAATTATCCACATTTATCTACTTTGATTAACATGTCTGTGCAAATGAATTAATCATGATGACACCTTAGTTTAGTATTCTTGGCTGTCGTATAATTCAATTAGTCGATATAAGTATAGTGCTTGAAGTATATAATGGAGCAAATCAGTTTAGTAAGTAGAGCTGCTCACTCATTTCTGTTAGTGTGCTTGAGGGTCAGAACTAGAAAACGATCGGTGTGAGATTATGTATAATTTAGAGCGTATAAAGCTCCAGGAGGTTGAAAGCTTAGAATTTGTATAAAACAGGACGAATCACGGGGATGTTAGGTTAATGCATCATATCTATCATATTCCCACTATCTGACTGTGGACAAACATAAAAAATCATATTGGCAACTGGGAATTTTAGTTTATCAGATGCTAACTCTTTTTATCTACCCGTCAAAGCAGACGCAGATGCATTAGAATACTTAAATGGGGGCAAAACAATATGGTATCTTCTTAATCACAAACCTGCATTAGATCGATAGCATCCCTGACCTGTTCCCAGGTTGTCAGGTGCCTGGGTTTCATAATTCTTTCGAAAACAACACTGTGTCTACAACTATTGGACACTCAGTATTAGTTTGACTAGTTGATGGGATAGGGTTATCCATAATACTGAAGGACATAACAAACCGGAAGTCGTTTTCTTTCAATGCTCTAGATAACATCATAAACGAAAGTTACGAATGAACATGTGGGCATTCAGAGTCCCAGTGGCAGCAATATATTTTTTAGCTAGAAAAAAACTAAATTTGTTCCTCGACATCTACAAAATAATACTAAAAACACAACAGATTAACATTTTATAACACAAAAAAGCGTACTTGCCTGAGGGAATACACTGCAGTAGCAGCAACAAACCGAGAAAACAAAGATGGCGGCAATGATAATTTCCGCTTCATCCTGAATGGTCGCTTAGGCGACTGTCAAAATGGCGGGACTATAATTTATGGACGAACAAATCAGATTTATGATAACAGGTCTTGTATTTTGGCGCGAAACTCATTCACCCGTTTGGCTGAATAGAATCCTGGTATTATAGCTGGTGTCAGTTCGTGATGAAAACCCTAAATCTGATTCCTAACACAAGCGATCAACTGTAAATGATAACCCTTATTCTTCAAACTGCTTTAAGTAGGTAGACACCCTCAAGGTCACTTTAGCGTCGCTCAATGTCGTCCACACAATCTACCAATTGCTTGATGAATCCGTCGTCCAATTAGATTAAAGCGGCATTTTCGACGTTCCGGACAGTAATATTGTGGTCTCATTTATTTCAGTTGTGATTCAACTTCTGGATTGCTTCTTCTTTTCTGGTTCCAAAAATGCAGGAGGACCAGCCGTTCAAAGTTGGTAAGTTTTAAACTTGTCCAAGTACTTGACATAAACGTTTATGTCGTGTCATTTTAAAATTATTTTCTTATAAATGTCACTGAATACAATCATGTGAATAATTCTGAATTTAGTAAAATGTTTATTAAGTTGGCTTCATGTCAAACATCGAACCACTATGCTTTCATCACAATTTCAGACTCAGATTTGTGTAGTAACCCAATTTCGGGGAATCCGCTATAGAAAATTTTGGGGAAATGACACCAAACCCACAAAATTTCCCCAAAATCTTATTACTCTTTGGGAAAACCGGCCTATATTTATTATAAAACCCCAAAATTTTGGTTAGATTTCGCGTTTTTCCTCAAAATTTCAGTCCTTAAGGACTGAAGGCCTACGACATATGTTATTCCTTTTCTAGTATGCTTCTATAAGTGTCTAGTCTTCTATTGAATAAGTCAATTGAAGGTGCGGACACCACTTCTTCGGGTAACAGGTTACAGGAATTGATAACTCGGTATGAAAACCTGTATACCATGGGTATTTCGTTCGTTCTTGGCTTCTCTGCTTGCGTGTTATGTCCTCTGAGATGTCCTAACCTAGTGAGAAGAACAAGAGAATACATTAGGTTTAAAATAATTTCTTAGTATTCTATGTATTAAAATCAGATCACCTCAATCTTCAGTAGGACAGAGTAAAGAGGTCCTGCTTTTCAAGCCGCTTTTTGTATGGTAAACCCTGGAGTTCTGGAATTGCATGGTAGCTGCCCTCTGTGATTTTCTCAGGATATCTGAGTCATCTGTTAAACAGGGACTTGCAGCCTGAACGCAGTTTTAAGCTTAGTTCTCACTAAGGTTGTGTATAATGTAGTGAACATGGTAGTATCTAACTTGAATATCCATCTTAAAGCACGTAGGGTTCTAAACCTCTTAGCTACAACCTCCTGGCAGTGGGCCGTGGTCTTAATATCATGACTCACTGCCCCCCAAGATCCTTGTGAGATCGGACCGCAGGTACAAGTGCTTTCCATATGCTGTACCTATTTACCTTTATATCCTCAAAGTGCATGTGGACACACTTTGCGGCGTTGATAGACATCAGCCACTCTTTGGACCCGCTAATCACAATATTTAAATCTACCTAACGTGTGTATGCATATGCGTCTCCTGTTATTTCTCGCCAGATTTTTACATCAGTGTATAGTAACATTGGGGACTCAACCATACTTGGGAGATCATTTACATACAGTATAAAACTCGATGGGCAGAACACTTTAGGGATCAGTTCAACTGGCCTTCAGCCACACTTCAGTTTCCCACAATCTCCAGTCAACCTGAATGGCAAGTTAATTTAGGTCCTCCGACTCTTTATGAAGTTGAAAAAGCTATAGGAAATCTGAAGCGAGGGAGAGCAGCAGGCCCTGACAGGTTTACTCCTGAGATTTTTAAGGATGGTGGTCCAGTATTAGCAGTGAGATTAACTGAGGTCTTAGGTAGAATTTGAGAACTGGACGCAATCCCATCTGACTGGTCCTAATCACTGATTGTGCCAGTCCATAAGAAAGGACAAAAGTCCTCTTGTGACAATCACAGAGGAATCAGTTTGACAAATATAGTGTCTAAAATATTAACTTCAATAATACTTCGGCGCCTAACTAAAGCTCATGAAGAGCAGAATAGAGAGAACCAGGCTGGTTTTCGACCTGGACGTGGTTGTATAGATCAGATATTCACACTACATCAGGTCCTAGAACATAGACACACATTCAGAAGCCCCATAATCATAGTATTCCTCGACCTTAAGGTGGTATTTGACTCTGTTGATCGTGAGGTTCTATGGCAGAGTTTGTCACTGAAGGGAGTACCAAAGAAGTACATTAACCATGTAAAGGCTCTACTCGAACACAACTGGTCGAGTGAGAGCTTATGGCAAACTGTCATCAGAATTGATTACCTCGAGTGGTGTTCGCCAGGGCTGTCCACTCTCCCCATTCTTGTTCAACTTTGTGGTCGACGTAGTTTTAGAGATAACACTCTCCTCATCTAAATTTCCAGGGGTTGAACTTCTACCAGGAGATTCACTTGTTGACTTGGAATATGCCGATGACATAGTTCTATTTGGTGAAGACTCTGACAAAATGCAGAGTCTTCTGACCACTCTAAGCAACAATGCAAGCATGTTCGGGATGCGATTCTCCCCCTCGAAATGCAAAATGTTGCTTCAGGATTGGGTTGCATCGACATCCGAAGTGAAGTAGTTGAGCGTGTCGACCGCTTCACTTACCTTGGAAGTCTCATCAGCCCTTGTGGTCTTGTGTGTGACTAAATCTCAGCACGGATACAGAAGGCTCGACTAGCTTTTGCCAACTTGCGTCATTTATGGCGTAGGCGAGATATCCGTCTATCAACCAAACGACGTGTTTACTGCACAGCAATTCGTTCCGTCCTACTTTATGGCAGTGAAACATGGCCGGTAAGAGTAGAGGATATCCGTAGGTCACTAGTATTTGATCATAGGTGTCTTCGAAACATTGCTCGTATATCCTGGGACCATCGAGTAAGTAACGCAGTAGTTAGGAAACTGGTACTAGGTAAGGATGGCAAATCGATTGATGATGTGGTGAAACTTCATCAGTTGAGATGGCTGGGACACGTGTTACGTATGCCCAACGACCGACTGTCTCGACATGCGATGTTCAGTGGTATAGGAGTAGGTTGGAAGAAAGCTAGTGGTGGTCAGACCAAAACATGGCACAAGTCCATGAAGTCACTGACAAGTGGACTGAACCATGTTGGTAGGCGTAGACTACCTGTTTGGGGACCGCGAGATGATTGCAACCGATGGTTAGAGACCCTGAATGACATGGCTCAAAATGGTTTGCAATGGCGCAGGTGCATCCACTCTTTATGTTCGCCCAAATTCTAATCTTCTGAATTCTTCATGTCCCTTTCTTTTTTCTCTTTCCAAATTTATTTCACTGGATTATACTTCTTGAATAACATCTTCAAACCCTAATTTTTCTGATTACAGCTTATAATTTTACTACATCCTAGCACTACGGGATCTGAATCGACCACTTCATCTCTGTGCTAACGTGGTATGGCAACTCGAACTGATGTACGTACGTACAAAGTTCTACGTTGTTACTGACTGACTGAGTATAAAAATTAAAGGACCTAGGACGGAACCTTGCGGTACTCCACTAAGCACTAGTCTCCAGGTGGAGCACTTCGAATTTACTCTTACTTTCTGTCTACGACCTACCACACCTTGGCCAAATGACATTGAATATCGCAATTGGTGGAACTGCCATATGTTGTGCGATTTGTCTCAAGTTTTTGGGGTGTAGTTCATCCGGTCCTGCTGACTTTTCCATGTCTAAATTGCCAAGAGATTGTGCTAACTGCATTTAATATTTTCTATGAGCTTCCCGGATTTTAATTATACACTTATTTCCTACCGACCTATAGCGTTCCATAGTAATTGCTGTGCCAAAGCTGATAGCAACGTCTCAACACTTCTTTTGTCTTAGTAAATGTCGAATATCTTGGCCTATTCAGGGATAACAGTCTTCTTTTTTGGGACTGTCCAGGGTATATGTGGTTGAACTACCTGATTGTATAACTGCCTGAAATGAGTTCATGTATCTTCTACTGATGTCCCTGAGTCGATTGGTCCTTCGGCTCTCTCTCACATTGTCCGGACATTCCATGTACCTATATTGTTTGTTGTTCTGGTTGTCAGAAGAGGCAACGGCCTCAAGATTTTCGAGGAATCTCGGTATTCATCATGAGGCGTTATGATGATGCACACTGACCATGTTTCTAGTTGTTTTCGCGATAGACCAGTCAGTTAGGCCCAAATAACGTAGAACCTGGCACAAATTTCCATCGAATCAAGCTGAAAAATCACGTTAACACAACGGCGTGAAATTCTCAATATGAATAATAAAACAATATCTGATAATAAGAATAATCAGGCATAGAAAATTTGATTGGAGATGAAAGAATTAATTAAGTGAATGAAAAATCTAAAGTAATTTTTAAACATGAACCCCAAGGTTAAATAAAGTATAAGTGGATATACACTGTTGCGATCGATTTTCAGCGTTGTTGCCCACGTTTTTTGAGAGTTAGTAGTAATAATCGGTTCACATTAATCATAGCGCGTTGAAAATGCATTGAAAATGCAGATAACCTTTTTAGTAGTGTGAAGTACGTTCGAATTACCCTCTGTCCCTTTACTTTGCGACCAATCAAAAAGGTAGTCTTCTGAACGTACGTTGAAGAGTCTAATTTCTCGAATTCGGTAAAAAAAGTGTTGTTATTACCCCAGTTGTGTTATTTCGTACGTCTGTTTTGAAGAGCTAGGATATAATCTAATCGAAGGGATATTTGTGTGTTGGATTCCCAACAGATCAAGAGTTTGTTAGACAGTTCCAGGTAACCGAAAATTTAACAGTAATGGACCTAATTACGATTATGTATTTGAAGTGAAAATGTTTAGGTCGCATTGTCATATGATGTATGAATTTATCATAAAACAGCCGACTAAACACAATCATGTTCCTTATAAGTCCACGACAGATGCGAAAAAGACAATCAACATAATGAAAGATCGAACAGCTTTTTCAACAGACGCGGCACATCAAATTGTGGTCACAGTGTCAACTGGTTTGTCGTACGTGGTGTCAGCTCAATCTCCAGCTGATAGTGTAATGAAACAGCATGATAGTCAAGCTTCCTTTCTAAATCCAGGTTCTTCGAATGTACTAAATTCACCCTCTGAATAATGTGAGGAGGGAGAATTTCTTACTTTATGATAGTAAGGCGGGCGACAAAAGAATTTCAATATTTTTGATATAACCGGTGTTTAAAGTATTTTTTCCTCACGTATATTACGATAATATGTTAATAAGACTAGTCACGTTATATCAGAACTAGGATTCACGACCCAAAATAGAGATCCAGATTAACACTAGATAATACTTTATTCAATACAAGTAACAAGCAGTCACACTCAGTGGGTCCGGAGTAAAAATCAATGACGGAAAGGGGAATCACATATTTGATAGTCAGTAGGCTGTGGCTGTTTGTCCACGCTCAACGACCAATCATTTTACTTCCACTGGTTAGCGTTTTTTAGCGAGTTAGTTTTCTACGGGATGGGGTCACTAACCCCATGCCCAACCCTCCTCCTTTACCCGGGCTTGGGACCGGCAGTAGCTCTAGGAGAGTTACAGGCGGTTTTTTACTTCCACTACTACACATCAGTTTTCTACATCTTGGAATATTGAATTTTTGAAGCACTGTCGTCATTAGTACGTTGACAGGACATTCAAGACCTCGCCATCTTTGTTTAGTCAGCTATACACAATTCATGCTATGAGATTCTGCATGATTGTTCAATTGGTTTACATTCTAATGAATGACGAAAGTAGGAATTCGTATGTCTACATATTTAATAAATCAAATGAATTGTACCAAACTTTAAATCCATCAGGTATCATGACTGACTCAGCATTATCAGCATTTCGATAAGTATATCTGAATACAGTACAGCCACATTGTAGCTGACTAACTGACTGAAGTATATCTGAGTACAGTACAAGAAGGTCATCTGTTTCGTCCGAGCCAGTGTATATGGCGGATACTTCAACAATAAGCGAACCTGCAGCAACTTTATGTGACAAAATAAAATTTTCCTTCCCATATTCGTCATTTGGCAGCATTAGCTTTCGTGCTGGTCACAGCTGCATTTTAGAGTCTAATAGTCATCATTTTACATAGAGAATGAAGAAATCAAGGGGTTAACAAATCATTTAGATCGGGAGACCAGCAGAACGTAATGGTCGCAGTAAATGCCGTGGATCGATGCCACGCTTTAGTTGTTACTAGCTTTATTCCGACCTACTACACCAACCAACATCATACGTCTAGGTAGTCGGTTGTTGTGTATACGTAAGCCACCTAAATTAATAAAGATTCACAACATAGCCAACTGATTTTCCTTTTTTTTAACCTTCGGTGACTTGGACCGGATTAAATGAAGATCAGCGATAGGTGAACTCTTCGTTTTAGTTTTATTTTTGCTAGGCTTATTGATTCAGTAGTAATAATGGATGTTGTTTCAATTTATCTTTCAAGTGGGTAACAACTTTCCTTACTGTTGTTTGATTTCAGCCGTTGTTGGTGGAGGAATAGGTGGTGCAAGTTCGGCTTATTTTTTACGGAAAATGTTTGGCAATAAAGTTTCTATTACCCTTTTTGAAAAATCCGGACGAATCGGTGGTCGTATCAAAGCAGTACCTTTTTGTGGAGAAACTTGCGAATCTGGAGCTAGCGCCATTCATTCTAGTAATCATTACATGACTTCGTTTGCAAATCAATTCAGTAAGTTAGTTTGCATATTTCCTGAATATTTTGTGAACATAATCTTTTAACAATGTAATTGGATTCACGATCAAGTTGTTAAAATTAACTTATTGTTTCCAAACAATAATGTTCATCAGATTTGTAAAGTTTCTAATTCTTAACTTCCACACTGTTCTACTTGATTTTTTCTTAATACATTGTCTCAATCAGACATCTCACAAATGATAAGTGCATGTGATTAGTCAAGAAATGGTTTTTATTTTTCCTCAGTAGTTAGTTAGGCTCGTTTATATGAAGATTATGAATCAATATCAATTTCTGAACTCCGCACATCAGATCATTTTTCATCGAGAGTAAAATCTTCACTATACCAATAATATATCCCTTTGACGGTGAAAACAATAGTGCAGTTAGTATACAACTTTAGACCTTCAGTATACATTCATTTAAGATGAGTTTACACGTATAATTTCTTCCAATATTCTGATTACTAGACATAAAATTACAAATTAATTATCATTAATTATACATTTCCCAAAATCAGTAAAGTGTTTTTCAAACTTTATCTACCTTTTAATTTTCTCATTCAGTATCATATCCAAGTAGTACATTTGGAGCATAAATCTCTTACAGTAACGAATTGAAGAGAAATCCCCACTCTGTAAAGTATTTCGCAGATGACCTAGCCCTCCTATCGCACGAACAAATGCAGATAAAGACAGCCAGTGTAGCAGCAGTCTATGCATCAGTAGGCCTCAACATACACAAGGGGAAAACCAAGGTCCTCAAATTCAAAACGAAGAACAGCAATCCAATCACTCTTGATGGCGAAACTCTGGAAGATGTAGAATCCTTCACATACCTGGGAAGCATCATCGATGAACAAGGTGGTTCAGATGCAGACGTAAAGTCGATGATTGGCAAAGCAAGGGCCACATTTCTACAATTGAAGAACATACGGAACTCAAAACAACTTTCAACCAATATCAAAGTGAGAATCTTCAATACGAATGTCAAGGTAGTTCTACTGTACGGAGCTGAAACTTGGAGAACTACAGCAACCATCATCAAGAAGGTGCAAGTATTTATAAATAGCTGTCTACTCAAGATACTCAACATCCATTGACCGGATACCATCAGCAACAGCCTTTTGTGGGAGAGAACAAACCAGCTTCCATCTGAAGAGGAAATTAGGGAAAGTCGATGGAAATGGATAGAACGTAGATTACACAAATCATTGAACTGCATCACGAGGCAATCCCTAACTTGGAATCCTGAAGGAAGTCGGAAAAGAGGAAGGCCAAAGAACACATTACGTCGGGACATAGAAGCAGATATGAAAAGGATGAGTGACAACTGTAAGGAGCTTGAAAGGATTGCCCAGGACAGGGTTGGATGGAGAGTGGTGGTGAGCGGCCTATGCTCCTTCACGAGGAGTAACAGGCGTAAGTAAGTAAGTAAGTAAGTAATGTTAGGGTATACGCATTTATTTCAGCGATATGTTAAAGGAATACGACTATCCACTACAATGTTCAGATTGACAAAAGTTTGAGTTGTTTTATTGATCATATTTTCAGTAATTTTATTTTCAAGTTTTCTTCCTAAAATTTGTTATCAAATCTGGTAAAATTCAATTTCTATTCTAATGTTGATCTAATTTCACTGAATTAATTATTGTGAACAAAATAGTTTGAGACTTTTCAGTGTTTATTGTTTGTTGTTGTTTAGATAGCGGTTTTGATGCTTGTATTAATACATTTTATGTTTTTGCTTTATAGAAATACCTTTGGTTCCTTTAAAAAATGCTGATCATCGCTTACTTCTTTTTGAAGAAGGTTATAGACCAGTATTTTCAAATATTACTGATCAGACAACATTTCTAACCCCGATTCACTTATTTTGGCGTTACGGCCTCAACTTGCTTCGTGCAAAGTTTTATCTAATGGCTAGAATTCGAGAATTCACTCAGTAAGGATGTTTAAATGATAAATTTTATGACGTTTGTCAACGCTTCACATATCCACCTAATTAAATGTTGACTCGTTATGATTACTGCAATCCACCTTTCAATGTGTGCCTTAAAATTTGAGTTATGTTTATTGAATAAGGTTGAAAATACTACTGGTTTACCCATATCAAAGTACCTGGAGTATAGTGGAAAACTGTGGTTTAATGGTTTATTATTGAATGTTCAACATTGGGCTATAAGAACACTTGTTCTATAGACAGTTAATATGTCAAGTATACTGCATTTTGTTTATTCGCATTATGTACTGATACACTGAAGTCACAACCACACCCATTATGACTTATGAGTACAACTTGGTATGGATATTAACAAGATTGAGAACATGTCGGAACTTTTTTTGCTACTGATTGAATGAATTTGTATATGAATTATGTATATGAAGCTATCTATGTAATGTGCAGTATGTTTAAGTAGGTGCGTATTTCGCTTACAATAAATAACCCATACCTTCATTCCTCACTTGTCCTGGCCTCGTAGTGGCATGTGACCTGGATTCGTCTAATTCATCAGTATTACATCATATTATAGATTCTTTTAAAATGTTATTTGATGTTTTTCTAAGTGAACCTCAGTCGATCGCTTTACCGCAGTTGCTGTGTTTTTCTGTGTTCTTCTAAATCCTGAGCTTTTACCATTCCATGCTTTCCATTCTTTAATCTTAATCATTTTTTCTAAATGCCATCTCTTATAACTGGCTTTTACTACGGTGGATATTATTTTTATTATTGTTTTCCTGTTTATAATTTTCATTTTTCTTATTTTGTCTGGGTGTTAAAGTAGGATATGACCAACCTACACTGATAAATATTCGTGCCAGAACATACATTGTCTATGATTAACTGACATCTTCCTCCTTATTTTAAAGACCTTATTATTCCGCTTTTGCTCAATTATTTATTTCATCATTTGTATTTTTCCTGTATATTTTATAGATTTCAAAATTTCAGTCAGTTTTTTTGCTTGTTTCTGTGATAACCATATTCCGAAGGTTTAGTTTTCTTATTATTGCTCCTACATTATTTCGACCTCTTGTGATTTTCATCTTGTCGTGCTAATCCGGAATGGAAACTTGATTCGACAGATATCTATTTCAGGCTCTCTGTCGATGATGTCTGTCTGTCTGTAATAATCTATATGTTAATCAGATAACATGATATGATGTTTTCTAAGCTGGAAGACCTAGCAATGACAGCAGAGAATGGATCTCTATCGAATTCCTGTACAAGATTCAGGAAAGGAGGAACAAGAAAACCTCAATTAACAACAGTCGAACAAGAGCAGAAAAGCCGATGCACAGACCGAATACACAGAAGCAAACAAACGAGTGAAGAGAAGCACTAGAACCGACGAGTGGGAATACGTGGAACACCTAGCAATGACATTGGAGAAAGCTGCAAGAGAAGACAATCTGAGACGACTATATGATACGACGAAGAAATTAACAGGGAACTATAGTAGACCATAGAAACTAGTCAAGAAAACAGAAGGCAAGAGAATCACTAAGATTGAAGAACAGTGGAACAGGTGGGTAGAGGACTTTGGAGGACTGGACTGTTGAATAGACTAACCCCACTGAATCCACCACACATCGAAGCAGCACCTACTAACCTTCCTATGGGTTTCATATCATCAACAGTGGAAGGAATGAGGATGGCCATCGGACAAATGAAGAATGGGAAAGCAGCAGGACCAGACAACAAACCGGCTGACACACTGACATCAGACATGGAGGTAACTGCAAAGGTGTTCCACATGTTATTCAGAAGGATTTGGGAGAAGAAACAAGTGCCACTAACGGACTGGAAAGATGGATACTTTATGAAGGTACAAAAGAAAGCAGATTTGAGCAAGTGTGAGAACTCAGCTACAGAGGCATCACATTACTATGAGTACCAGGAAAAGTTTTCAACAGGGTGTTGTTGAACCGGTTTGAAGATTATTCACTCGACTCTCAACTTCGATATCTACAGACGAAACCGCAACACTACAGATCATTTTTAAGCAATGAAGTGAATGGAATTCGTCATTATACATGAACATCATTGACTATGAGAAATTATTTGGTAGTGTGGATAAAAGAACCTTATGGAGCCTTCTTCGGAACTGTGGTGTATCTGAGAAGATTGTCAACGTCATACGAAAGTACCGTTGTTTGTATAAGATACTGAATTTCGGTTGACCGGACACCACTAGTAACAGCCTACTGTGGGAGAGAACAAACCAGGTTTTAGATGAATAGGAAATTAGAGAGAGACACTTGAGGTAGGTGTGAAGAATATTGTGGAAATCATCAAACTGCATTATGAGGCAAGTGCTAATTTGGGATTTTGAAAAGAAGAGGAAAAGAGGAATATCAAGGAACAGATTTCGTTGTGAACTGGAAGGAGACATCATAGGGAGGAATATCAGATGGGAAGGACTGTCTCTTACAGTGTTTGTTGGAGAATCCTAGTGGGGTGCCTATGTTCCTCTACGAGGGGTAACAGGCGTTGGTTGGTATGTAATATTTTGTTGGAATGGTCAATAAACATTCGTTTGTATCGGTCATATACAGGGGGACCGATCTGATATTTGTTTAAACGTTATGTGCTCGTGAGTACCCTTAATTTGCATTCTTTTTCTAAGGAATTAAATACACACTACTCTATGAAATCAATGACAATACTTCAACTTTGTAAGGGCGGTTATTTGTGGTTTATATGACTAAAAGATTACATAATTAGATACTGACATAGCAATAGCTATCTGTATCTAACAAATGTAAGTGATTCTAATTATATCTTGTTAATTGTTTATTTATAGAATTTATGCTTTGCAAGAACGTGGTGAATGTTTCACTTCACCCGGTTTACTATTAAAAAAATTATCTAAACATTTCCCTGAAATGACAAAGTGTACTTTTGCTGAATGGATGCGTAAAGAAATTGGATTAGACGAGAAATATATAAATGAATTAGGGTTTGGAATATTTTCGAGTAATTATTGTCAGAATTCAGTAGATGCTCATGCATTTGTCGGTGAGTTAATGTAGAGTTGATTCATTTTCTAAATCTATGAAATTATTCAAATCTTACTTTGATGTCCTTTTGTTTATATTCTTGACTACCTGACTACTTTATTACTGTAATGTCTATTTATGTATACTTGACCTACTTCTTATGTAGAACTATTGATTAAAACGGTAACTATTTTACAATTTCTTTTCACTCCTAAGTATACCTGTCAACTTTCAATTTCTTACTTCTTACCTATTATATGTAGTTATGCAATCCATTTCATGGACTTTATGGATGTGAAACATAGAGGATATTCATAAGTTACTGGTGTTCGATCCTTAGGTGTCTACGGTGCATTGTTTGTGTATTTTGGGACCACGTGGTAAGCAATATCTGAATGAGGAATAGAGTACTACGTAAAGATGGAAAATCGATTGATGAGGTAGTAAATCTTCATCAACCGAGGTGTTTGGGACATTTGTTGCATATTCCCAACCACCGCCTACCACGATAGTCGATGTTACCTAGTGGAGGACTAGTCTGGAAGAAATCTAGGGTCTGCCAAACTAAAAACATGGAATCAGTTCACGAAGTTACTGATAATTGGACTTAGCCATGTTAATTTGTGTAGACTAGCTGGTTGAAGTTCGCATGATTATCATGATTAATGGCATGGCTCAAAATCGTTTACAATGACTCAGGTGCATCCATTCTTTGTTTTCCCCCAAATCCTGAGATTATTGATTCTTCATAACTTTTATTTGACTAATTTATATTTTCTTTTCGAATCGTATATTCGATGCCTAATTTTCCCTATTTTTACTGATACTGCTACTGCCTTTACTATTCTGGGATTTGACCTGACAACTTCATCAACTTATGAGGTATGGTAATCTGAACCGATGTACTTACGTACAGGTTCTACGTTGTGGCTGGCTGACTGCATGTAATTTGTTTCAACGTTTACTCATAGTCTAACAGATAGATATTGTTTTTAAATATTTGGTTTTGAGGCTATCAGATCTCAGACTGGGTGAAATATACCAGTAGAACTTACTTTCAGTTGACTGTTCTAAGCAACAACCATATTCTTGTTTAACCTTTTGTACAAAAGTGTCTGGTTTTGCGTCCCATATCTGAATTTAGTGTTGAAGAGAGATTTTATTATGTAGTATTTTACTCGGTAGTAATTCACGAATATCTTCTTCATTATGAAATCTTTCAATTTGGTCGTAAAGGATTAAAGTCCTGTTGTATCCTGTCGTATTCTCGACACAGGTGAACGTACAAATCGCAATACACCAATAAAGTAATATTTAGTTATATTATAAGCGTTTTGCCAATTCATAATATGGACTTCGTCGAATTAGTGCATTTATTCAACCTTGTAGTGTCGGCTTCTATGTTAGGCCTAAATAACCTATTCCAGCTTCTAAAGAAACCAACTTATCCATTCTCTTCAAGCTACATTTTGATCTTGTCAATTATTCGCTTATCGACTTTGACTTTTTATATGAGCGTATGTGTGTGCACTTATCCTATTCATCACATGTCTGTAACTTATTTTTGTTCGACTATAAATATCGATTCACGCTTGGCAAAATTGAGTTGGTTCACTCGCCTTTTCCACTGCGCGTCATTTAGTTTCACTTCTCTCTCTTCTTCGCTCCGTCATCCTGATTGTCTTCTCAGATCAACGATCGTATAAAATATACGCCCCGACCGTTGTTGCTACCTTGACGTGGTGGTCAGGCTTGCCTATCGTGATGAAGCAACCGAGCTATACTGGCTGGAACAACCGTTCCTCAAGGTCCTACCATGTCAGACAGGTCGGTTGAAGAGCGGTAAGACTAAAAGCAACAAACCCAAGGTCCGAAGGCGAAGTCGTACTGCTGACTGTACAGAGGTGTGACAGCAGTAAGGTGTTTCCTTCAGACAACCAGCATGACAGCGATGCTGCCTTCCCACAAGGAGGGGTGGGGTTAGAAAAGGTCGACCCTAAAAATGCGCACCTCACCTTACCTCACGGATTTCCGTCTCCGGCGGTAAGGCCCTTTGAAGAATGGAGCTAACACGTCAAAAACCTCCCACGAGAAGGCCGTGCGCGACCGGCCTCAAGCAGTTGTCCCTTGGGCACTGCGGTCACGCTCTCAGGTCACTGAGACCACTTCTAATCCAATTTCCTTTTCAGGTACCTCCAGAAGAACCCTTCCTCGGTGTGGGCAACCGGGAAGTGATGACCGCCCTCATACCTTTAACAGCACCCAAGACCACTGATAAAATATACGCATTCAAACTTCATTCTCTCATTATAATTATAATTATGGATTTCTACATTATTATTCTTACTATACATTACATACACAATTTGCTCACCTATCAGTTTTCCTTTACAAACTTCATCATTCCTTCGTTCCTGTCGTTATTACAATTACTCTCTGTTTACATTCCTGTTCTTTTCAATTCAATTGTCTTAGCCTGCTGCAGCCAGGAATCCCACTTGTGATTGGTGTTACATACTACTTATATATAAGTAGCATACACCATAGTATATTATCTATATTTTTCCAAGTTATCAGTTATACTGTTCACATCCATTTTTTATTTGTAGATAATGTAATATTAAAGCGAAGCATTGACATAACCTTGATTTTAATCTTGATCATTTTGTTTCTATTATCAATTATAGGAGTGATTTCTTCAGCTTGTACAGTATCTGATGTATATACTATTGAAAATGGAGCTGAACAAATCCCGCAAAAGTTAGTTGAAGTTGCATTGGCCGGCAATCCTTCTGGTGCTCCAAAAGAGTTTATACACGCTACGGTGAAGAAGATTACACGAACCGATAATGATAGGTAATCCTATGTTTCTAATGAGATGTTTTTCGTCAGTAAAACAGTCATTGCTGTGCTGCTAAATAAGACTCCAATAAGACTGTGTATTATGTTAAAGCCAGTCAAGTTTTAAATAAAAATAAACTCGTCTATAAATCCAACTGTTTGACTAAAATGTAGTATTTTAATTCAGTTTACCATGCATGGAAGAAGGTTTTGAATTAAAACTATAAACAAACTACTGTATTTCTTCAATAATTGTGCAGAAGATGTTTTATCATAAAGATTTTGAATTTTAGAGAAAACGGTTCAATCCATGAGGTATAAACTCGAAACCTTTTTGTTCTCTTTCCAACATAGTAAAACTTCAGTAAGAACTATTTTAGCTTATAATTGCTCAATCAGGTTATTGTAGTAATAACATACGATCGTCACTACGAAGTAGTACATGTAAAACAAAAAATGTCCTTAAACTTCTAGATGTTAATGTTATATCCGAGCGAAGATTAAATCACGAGTAATTCCTGAGACATGTTAATTGACTAATATTATCCATATATTCTTATGGTGTAACTATTCAATAATTAGATTATGTATATTTATATTCCTCTTATTATAAGCTTTATTTCGACCTATAATTTATTATTGTACAAATTACGGTTCTTAAGCTATATTCGGTTTATTGACTACTACCTCCCACGTTCACAGCCACATTTGGCCAAATATTGTACAAATGTTATTTTCCATTTTATGGTACGTTGTGGTCTGTCTGGTTGATATATAAACCTAGTATGTCTGAAATAAACGATTCGATTCGATTCGATTCATATTGCAGAAGCTGGTGTTTTTGTTCTGGCCTCAAATGGACGGGTTAGGCGGACATAGGACCAATAAGGACTCTAGGCTGCTCATACCGGTTGAACGTCATTGGTTCTGGCACAGTGCTAAGACTGTATAAGTCGTATTTTGATTGGTGAATAAATCATGTGATAAAAAGCCGGACATAAAGTCATAACAGTTAATTATGAGTACTTTATATTTTCCTAAGTGTAGGTACATTTAATGATGCTCTTCACCACATTCTGAATTCGAAGTTGGTTTTCATTGTTAGCTTTTAATCACCTAGTGGGATAATTTAATTAACTTATCCAACAGTGTTTTTTTCTTCAAAATCTCCATATTTCAACATTTACTCTTGTGAATAAAACTAAATTCTCACTTGATACAAGTAGAATATATTAGCATTAGAGCCATTGGATCTGATCCCAATATTTAACTAATTGGATTTTTTTTAACTAAAGCATGAAAAACAAGCTTAGTAGAATAAGGTGAATTCATTTATTTCGTGGATTCTCAGTTAACTAGCCTGTCGTCTACAGTAATAAGCACCAGACTTTCCAAGTTTAGTATTTAATCTATTGCGATCAATTTTTGATGAATGCTACCTACACATTAAACTAACCTTCATAATATACTAGCCAAGCTTACCATTGAGTTACTACAAGATGTGCTTGGAATTCTAATAAGAAGTTGTGACTGGTGGAGTTTATACATAGCGGAAGTGAAACAGTTGCCACTAGTAATGGCATTGGATGATTTCTGCCTTTCATCGAAAATTAAATAAATTTGAGATTGTATCATTGGGAACCGACCCAGTGGTCCTAATGACTAGGTGTTTGCGAAACCTGAAGATCTTGATTTCAATCCCTAGTGAGGTCTTGGGTGCACACTTCTAGGTTGAAACAGCTCTCCAGTGGCCTGTGGTTCTCACTAGTACTCGAAATGAGATCGATCAGTTAGTCAAACGCCACATACAATCTGGCACATATATGTACATCAGTTCAAGTTGCCATTATCCATTAGCTCAGTGAGATGAAATTGTCAGGGTAAACCCGAGATTAGTAGGGGTAGTAACAGTTTTAGCGATGACAGAAAAGATAATACATTGGAGATACGTTGTGAGAAAGTGTAAATTGTTAACAAATTGTTGGAAAATATTTCTTTTATCAATTTTTAGAAATATTATTGGTTGTTTTGTTTACACATGTACATTTTACGTGATTATTTTGATTTTACCTTAATTATTTGTTTCAGATTACGCTTATCCTATGATCTAGCCGATAATAATAAAACTGAAGAGGGACTTTTCGATTACGTCATATTGTCATTACCACTACATCAAGAGTCCAATATTTCCACTTCAGATGATATTAAACTACCCAGCTTACGTTATCATGAGATGTGTCGTACATTTTTATCCGGTCAAATCAATTATTCGTTATTTGATCTACCGTTAAGTAAGTAGTCACAGTTTGTTACACTTACGTAGTTCATATTTATTACTGCCCCCAAATGCCCTGGTATGGCTGAGAGCGGTGTGGGTTCGTCCTCCCTCTCGAAATACTCGCACACGGCCACGCGTATACAGCCTTTGCCAGGGAAGTCCTACTCATTGCCTTCTCGTGGCGAGGGTGTTGTTTACGAAAATGAGAGGACGAAAAGCGAATGTCCGGCGCTTTAACTGGATTCCAAATCAATGGTGCGCATGGGCACCAGTATCCTGCGGGAACAAATGGCGTATGAACCAATTTTCAAGTACCGGCTACCATGGGACTTCATCTCCTTACGATGCTCCGCTGCCTTGCTTCGACGAACATTCAAATGATTCAATTATTATTATTACTATTATTATTACTATTACTATTATTATTATTATTATTATTATTATTATTATTATTATTATTATTATTATTATTATTATTATTTACTGCGTCATTATTCACCCTCCTTTATTCCTACTCTGTCTATACTTATTTTTTTCGACTTATACAGCAGCTCGTCTATGGTGGAAATTCGGCTGTATTTAAACGTTCTCGAGTCACTGCCTGGTTGAAAATTGTATGTTACCACCGAATACGAGAACTGAAGCAGTTTTTCTGAATCCACGTGCACCATTCAAACTGGCTGCCTTCAACGTTCGCACATTTATGCGGGTCGGACAACAGATAGAGCTGGCTGTCTTTAGAAAGTCTTAATATTGATGTTTGTTGTCTATCCGAGACCCGTATTCAAGACTCTGGCGAAGTACTACAAATTCGATCTCCATCTGTCGCTTCGAAAAGCTTGTTTTACGTGCGCTTATCCGGGGACCCTGTGGCATCTTCGTCTGGTCTTGCTGGTTTTGGTGTCGCACTAAGCGCTAGAGCTGAGGCAGCACTAATCGATTGGATCCCCATTAACAGTCGGTTATGTGCTGTTAGATTAGAAAGTTCCATCAAAGTGAGAAGAAATCGGCGTGAGAAACGATGTCTTTTTGTCATCTCCGCCTATGCCCCGACAGATTGCAGCCCGGATGCAATCAAGGATGAGTTTTACCACCAGTTATCTGTTCTCCAGAAAGTGCGTTCGACAGATATTGTAGTACTAGCCGGAGACTTGAATGCTCAGGTCGGGCGTCTAGGCACAGAAGAGAGTCGTTTAGGTGGCCGATGGGGACTTGTTAGTCGCAGGACAGATAACGGGGACCGTCTACTGCAACTGTGCACAAACCACAACCTGTTTCTGGCTAGCACTAACTTTCGGCACAGTCATCGCCGATGTGCCACCTGGCGTCCTCCCTCTGCATCTCAAGCCTGGACTCAGATTGATCACATCGCGATCAGCTACCGCTGGCGTGGTTGTGTACAAGACTGCCGCTCCTTTTGGAGTACCTATCTGGACTCTGATCATGCCTTGGTCTGCGCCAATCTTACCTTACTTTTTAGTGGCCAACGAAGTGACCGCCACCAACGGATTGATGTCAGCAAGTTGGTTGCAACTCCTGTTGCTAGTAAGTATCGAATCGAACTAGCTTCTAGGCATGACGCCATGAAAACGGCGGGTACAGTCAGTTGTGGGTTTGCGAAACGTCCCGCTTTTAAGCACTGGGTTTCTGCAGGTTCCTTACAACTCATTGAAGCCCGTCGGTCTACTCCGGGTGACCGTGAGTTTGACCATAAACGAAGGATATTACGTAAGGAAATCGGGCAAAGCTTGCGTAAGGACCGAGAAGCCTAGTGGTCGAAGCGTGCTAATGAGCTGGAAGCAGCAGCTGCATCTGGTAACTACCGGAAGCTCTTCCATCTCATCCGAGCCACTGGTAGCAAGAAGTCTGGTGTGAGTGAAACAATCTGTGAGGATGATGGGATGCCAATCACTAACATCCATCGACGTCTTGGACGATGGGCAGAATTTTTCGAAGGGCAGTTCAACTGGCCTGCTGCTCCGGCAACATCGGTCAGACTTTACCGTCCTCCATGGCCGGTGACGACTGATCCACCAAATGAGGAGGAAGTCCGCAAGGAACTCCAACTCTTGAAGCGCTACAAATCACCTGGCCCAGATGACTTACCTCCGGCTCTTTTTAAAGATGGTGGTGACTTTCTGACTAATGAACTGACGACGCTGTTTACAAAAGTCTGGGAACTAGAGAGTGTACCAACGTCATGGAATGAGTCAATAGTCGTCCCTATCTTTAAAAAGGGTTCACGTCGTTCCTGCAACAACTATCGGGGGATAAGTCTACTTCCAATTGCGTCCAAGATATCGGCTTCCGTCATACTTCGTAGGTTGTTCAAAACCCGATAAAGATTGACTCGCGAGGAGCAGGCTGGGTTTCGTTCTGGTCGAGGATGTATTGATCATATCTTCACCCTCCGCCAAATGTTAGAACACCGCCATACTTAACAAAGGCCAACAATCGTAGTGTTTCTTGACATCAGGGCTGCCTTCGATTCGTTGGATAGGACTGTTCTCTGGGATTTTCTATTGAAGAAGAGTGTGCCTGAGAAGTTTATTAACATCCTAAGAGCCCTATATACAAACACCTCAGGCAGAGTAAGGGCATACAACCATCTTTCTCCATTGTTCCATACGAGCAGTGGGGTTAGGCAGGGTTGCCCAATCTCACCATTCCTATTCAACTTTGCCATCGATAACATTCTGGAAACAGCTTTGATGGATGTAAGTAATGGCGGTGTGGATCTGTTGCCTGGAGAAAGACTTCTCGACCTTGAGTATGCGGATGATATTGTCTTACTGTGCGATAATGCCCAAGGCATGCAATCCTCACTTAATCAGTTGACAATCAGTGTCCGTAGGTATGATATGTGCTTTGCACCTTCGAAGTGCAAAGTACTTCTACAAGACTGGCAGGATCCTAATCCTGTACTCACCCTGGATGGTGAGCAGATAGATGTAGTTGAGAAGTTCGTGTATCTGGGTAGCTGCATAAGTGCTGGTGGTGGTGTGAGTGGTGAGATTAATGCACGTATAGTGAAAGCCAGAGCGGCTTATGCCAATCTGGGCCATCTTTGGCGCCTTCGTGATGTTAGTCTGGCTGTAAAAGGTCGGATTTACAACGCGTCGGTGAGAGCAGTTTTGCTCTATGCTTGTGAAACTTGGTCTCTCCGAGTTGAGGACGTTAGACGACTCTCTGTGTTCGATCATCGCTGTCTCCGAAGGATTGCTGACATTCAGTGGCAACACCATGTCAGTAATGCAGAGGTTCGGCATCGTGTGTTCGGGCACAGAGATGATAATTCAATTGTTGTCACCATCTTGAAACACCGACTTCGGTGGCTTGGAAATGTTCTACGAATGTCGTCCCAGAGAATTCCACGTCGTGCATTATTTGCCGACTCTGGGACTGGTTGGAGAAAGTGGAGAGGTAGTCAGTATATGACATGGTGTCGTGGTATGAAAGAAAGCTGCAAAGGGCTGGCTTGTGTCGGTCCTTCTCGACTCGCTGGTTGGGGTCCGAGAGATGGTACAACACAGTGGCTAGAGACGTTATCAGATATGGCTCAGAATAGAAGCCAGTGGTGATCCTGCTGTAACCTTCTTTTACTTTCTTCATAAAAGGTGGTTGTATCTTCCTTAACTGAAAGATCTCTTCTGATTGTACCCTTCTGTTCCCCTACTATTACTATTATTATTACACTACCTTACACCAATCTCTTCGTTATTGTTTTATATATATATATAACGTTCCCCACTTTTTTCTTTTTCTTCTTCTTAAATTCTCATTGTTTTGTGTGGCGCATATATATTTGGCGCACTCCTGTACCAATATATATGTGTTCAAATAAATAAATTGAGAATTGATTACATTAATGTTTGCAACCCATGTTCCCAATTTTCTAGAACATCTGAAACGTAATCAGTGGGCAACTTTTCTCCCAATCTCAAGTTACTACTCAAATGAAAAGCATCCTGTATGTTCTATAACGCGCTTACCAGTTAAATCGGAGGACTCAGATTTGAAAGATGGTGTTTGGAGTATATTTTCTGTATCAAAATGCATACCAGACCCAAAGACTGCTTTATCGAAATTGATTTTAAAATATCCAGATGACGATCACAATCGAATTGATGTTGTACGTTGGCTGGCATATCCAACCTATCATCCTGTTGTAAGTGAATTCAATATATGTATCTGTATGTATTTTGTATTACTTGCTTGTCTAGTAACAGTTATAGGTTTTAGATCTGAAGTGAAGAATATTTCCTCAAACATATGTGTCATGATTGATGGTTGTTATATATTTCAAATAGTCTTTGTATGACTTATTCTAAGTTATCAGTATAGGATTGTGGAGATTCTTGAGTTTTTTGAGATCACAAATCGATCAGTGTTAGACCACCATTAAAAACCTGGAAGCACTGGACGGCTGTTTCGTCCTAGTATGGGACTCCTCAGTAGTGCGCACCTGTGTTGGACTGTTTAATGATTATTTTTTTCGGTTTGGTGTCCGTCGGTGTGACAGTTTGATGTAATACATTTTCTTTCAGTTAACGTTACTTTGACTACTTTCTTATGAATAACTGATTGAAAAATGTTATGTTACTCATGAAAATAACAATATAGGTGATCGGATAATCCGTTTAATGTACATTCAAGGATCCAAGAATCAGATATCATTTAAACATTGCTTGCAGGTTCATCCTTAAACTAACTGTTGATTAGTAAAAGTTCACATTTGCTTTGTTTTATTATGACTGATCCATTTGTACTAATCATCTTGGAATCAGGAGCAGTAGCTCAGTGGTTCAGACGTTGTAAATTCAACTACTATGTCTCAGGTTCGAACCCTGTCCCACCTACTTCGGTTTGAGTGACCCGATATTATTACTAGCTCTCATAATTATACTGTATCTTGAAGTCATATGTAGAAAGCAACACATTGAGAGAGACTCAGATGCTTATCTCTGTCATTTCACTTGAATAACGACCCGTCATGTTGTGTTGGTAGTTAGGATCTCTATATCTCTTAATATGCGTTTTCCACATATAGGTAAATATTTTGAAAAAAAACACAATATGAATCAAATGCTTCGGTATTTAGAAAAAGATGAGAATACAAATGAAAATTCGGATATGTTTTATTGTATCTTGATGTCGAGATTCAGTACATGGTGAGCGTAATTGACAATTACGGTATTATTGTCAGTCAACAACGTAGGACCAGGCACATATATGCATCGGTCCAAGTTTCCACACCTCATTAGCACAACAAGATGAACACTAAATTCATAGAAGTAGTTACTTCAATGGTAGTAATATATAAAAGAAAGATTGCATATAAGGATATAATACAAGAAGAAAGAATTCGTTGGTAGTATGTGAGGTATAAAGCAATTTTAATCTCACAGTTTAATGGCAGATAAAGTGTATACGCCTTCACCATTGTGATCGATTCTAAGCCATTTCACCCAAAGTCTCCAACAATTGGTTACGATAGTACGGTATTATTGAACTTATTCTAATACGAGCAGGCTCTATTACATCTCGATCATTATTAAAACGCTGTTCCTAATGGAGCAGCGTATAAAGCCTATATTTTATCAATGTCTGAATTCTGATAATCATGATATCGCAAAATGTTACTCAATGATCATCTGATTAATTTAAAAGTATATATAGTTTTTGTGTGATGTTTAACATAATTATTGTTCACCTACTTGTCAGTGCTCCTATCATTATAGTTTCAGCATGATAAACGGTTAAAAGTCAATAAATTCTACACTAATTGTATTATTTTCATATGCTATTTTGTAATCATCGTAGAATGATGCAGATACTGATTTGGGCCAGTTCAAATTAGCACCAAGAGTTTACTATCCAAATGCGATTGAATTAACTGCTTCATGTATGGAAATGGCTATAATCGGTGGACGTAATGTGGCGTTATTAATTGCAAATGAAATGAAACATTTAAGACAGGATCAAAATTCAATGTTTACAACGTTAACAAATTTCATAAAAGGAGAAACAAACTGAAATTCACAATGTTCACAGTTTACTTTGTGATTTCGTTTTTTTCTATTTGGTGTTCATTTGTTATGACTATCTTGCTTTATGTTTCCTTTTTCTAAAATATGATAAAAAGTTCATTTACCCTGTATTTCTGCTAAGAGTATTCGGTTTCGTATTAAACTCATTCGATGAGTTGAGTAGCATTGAATTAATTTCGAGATATTTTCTTATGAGTATGTATTCTTTGCTTGTGATGTCATTTATGAAGTATCGTGGTGTATACTACTGATGTTGACATATATAAGTAGTATGTATCACCAGTCGAAAGTGGAATGCCTGGTGATAGGAGGTTGAGAAGATCGAAGAGAAGAGAACGAGAACAGAGAGTGATTGCTATGGAAACGAAGGAACGATAATGTCTGAGACAATTGATGGATATTTTGCAAATGAGGTATTTACTGTATGGTTCTCAGATTCTACTAAGAGATTCTGTAATTTTGTAGTCGAATACACTTGTGTTCTCGTTCACTACAGCATAATATATGGATAAAATAGTCTTTTATCGTGAAATTAATTATATCGGTTTTCTCGATACATTATTACATGAGATTATTGTCAAGCTTTGATCGAACTTATTTTCACTAAACTTATAAAACGTGTAGGCAAATGATTGTGATTAAGTTTGCTTGTTAAGATTATCAGTAGTTTAATTCTGTTGAGTGTATGCGATTTAGCTTATAAATAGCCTTCACTTATGTTGTATAACTAATAGTTTGTATACTGTTTAGTGTAAAGTGATTGATTGGTAGTTGAGTTGTCGTTTTTTGGAATACAGAACATCAGTTCTATGTATCTTCATATCACTGGATTGCGTGTACTATCATAATATGATTTTATGAAGAAAATTACTTGACTCCATGTGATTTGCTTTCTGATTGTCGGAGGAGATAAGTATTCTGTCTGTCATTAACCTATTTCGCTTATATTCTTGTACAACCAGTGACCGTGGGATGACAATCGAGATAAATACTTACACACCTATCAATCCACGATAAATTTTCCCTTTCTACCTTGATAGCCAGACGGAACGCGAACAAATTAGGCAGATAACGATTCTGGTGTACCATATTCATTCGTGACTCGAAACGCGTACAAGCACCTGATAAGCAGGCAACATAAACAAGAAACTTGACTGTTGTCGAAATAAGTGCAACGCATTTGACCCAAACTGGACACTAAAGATTAGATTCGGGAGAGATGCTGTCACTCACTGATCATAAAGAAGAAAATGCTACGCATACACAACGGGTTGCACTGATCCTACCTAAAGAAGCACGGAAAGCACTTACAGGATAGGAATCTCATGCATCCAGTATCATCAAGGCATCCTTCAGTGCTATGCAATTACTGATGATAGGAATGAAGACAATAAAGATAAGTTTTTTGAGATTCTGCAATTGATCATATAGAAGCCTCCAGGAAAGGACCTGGCCATTCTGATGGAAAATCTAAACGCCAAAGTCGGAATGGACAGCACTGGGTGAGAAAATATCATGCGAAGACATGGACTGGTTATGTGAAGGGAACGAGAATGGTGAGAGCTTTCCAAATGTATATGTCTTCAACGAAATGGTTGTAGGTAGCAATATATTCTCAAACAAACGCAGACAAATCTACATGGGTCTCACCGGATCACACTATAGAGAACCAAATCGATCATATTTGAATGACCAAAAAATTCAAAAGGTCAATAGATGTGAGAACAAAGAAAGGAGCTGATACAACTTCAGATCACCACCTGATGATTGCCAAGACGAAAATGAAGCTAAAGAAGCACTAGACAAACAGCGTTTCAAAACTTCAATGCAACGTTCCTTCGAGATAATGAAAAACTTAACCAATCCAAGATAGCTTTCAGCAACAAAGTTTCAAGCCTTACATGCTCTTCGATAATGCAATGAGAAGGGACTAATTGTTTTAAATTTCTGAAAAGAAGACATACATGCTTTATTTAAAGAGGAAATTTCTATGCAGAACAATTGGAGATGAATCAAATAGGCTCCAGTTTCAATGTGCATTAGGTGCTGGACTGCGAGAAACATCGTCAGAAATGGATCTTTATCGAATTCCTGTACAAGATTCAAGAAAGGAGGAACAAGAAAACCTCAATTAACAACAGTCGAACAAGAGCAGAAAAGCCGATGCACAGACCGAATACACAGAAACAAACAAACGAGTGAAGAGAAGCACTAGAACCGACGAGTGGGAATACGTGGAACACTTAGCAATGACATTGGAGAAAGCTGCAAGAGAAGACAATCTGAGACGACTATATGATACGACGAAGAAATTAACAGGGAACTATAGTAGACCATAGAAACTAGTCAAGAAAACAGAAGGCAAGAGAATCACTAAGATTGAAGAACAGTGGAACAGGTGGGTAGAGGACTTTGGAGGACTGGACTGTTGAATAGACTAACCCCACTGAATCCACCACACATCGAAGCAGCACCTACTAACCTTCCTATGGGTTTCATATCATCAACAGTAGAAGGAATGAGGAACTCACTTTCCGTTATGTTTTAGATTTTTCTGTTCAATATAACATTACTGCGATTAGTAGTTTGGAGGTTATGTGACATGACTCATAATCGGTCTTAGTGGGGCAAATGCCTTAACCCTTTATCTTGAGTTGCAGTATTCCTCAATACCTGCATTTTCATTCCATCTTTTCGAACCATATTTTTATTGTTTAGTCTTTCTCATAATAATTAATACTACATTATTTCCATTCATTTTGATACTTTTCAACATATAAGTCACCAAATATGATCGTAAAATTAGTCGTTCACCACTTATGAACTTTATTTATTAAGCGTTAACAAATTGAGCATCTCCAAAGCCTAAAAACTCATCTATTTATACTTTTCCACTGAACTTCAATTGATAATTAACTTCAGAATAACCGAATGATTTCAATATAAAGTTTACTGCAGTGGAAGTTCTGATGTTGACAATATCTCTACTGCTAAGCAGTTGGTTGTTTTCGTATTTAGTTTGCTATATTTACTATATGTCAAAATGTTAGAGTTGTTCTATTACAACCCCGACTAATTATATTAAATTGATCTCTTTATTTTAGTTCTCTCTTTAATGGTGTTTAGGGGATTAATGTTAATTTTGTAAGAAGAATCTTTCTATTGTACATCATTCGGAATTACTATAAACTATCTTGAGACAGAACAGACAGTAAAAGAATATGCATACATTCCTCATCATATATTTAATACAATAGACGAATTTTTTTTTGTTTTTATTAATATGTAACGAATTCTTTGTTTTCGTTTTCATGTATACAATGTTCTTTCTATTGTGATACTAATAGACATAAATGAAATCATTATGCAAGGAATTTGTCTGAGGAAAAGTGAAACTTTTTTATACTACTGATTTATACATTAAAATATAGAATATTCTAATTTTTAAGTTCCAAGTAGTTAGCAGCTTATTGTTTGTTTGTTCAAGAAGAAAATGAACTATTGAATTGATTCTGTTTGGTAGACTTGTATATGAAATTTTTAAAATAAATTTACAAAGTCTTAGATTGGATTGCTTTCAGTTGTTTACAAGATATATGATATATGCATGTGATATGATTAGCGGATTTTTCACATATATTTACTCTTTCATAAAGACAAACTTTAAGAAAATCAAGACTTTATTTTAACATTGTTCAATTAAATCCAATTGTGAAGATTTTATTGATTATATCATGGTAAACTGATTGAATTTCAGTTCCAAAAATTAAAAAAAATCAATTATGATCTAATCCAATTAATCAATAATATTGAATTGAATGATTCAAGGATGCTTTCACTTTAAATCATTATCATCTCCTGGTTTTTTTTTTAAATATCATATTTCTTACAAGTCTATGATCAATTAAATTGATAATAGAAACTTTCTTCAAATCAGAATCATGATAAACTAGATAATATTATGATATTTTTCTTTTTACTAGAAAGTTATTATTCACAATTTCTGTTCTGGTTAGATATCCATCCATCCATTGAAGCTTTAGATTTTTAATGAATATATAAAAATAAGTTTTGTTGTTGTTGTTGTTGTTGAGTTCTTTTCATGAACATTCCATAAACCATCTAAATGTCGGTGATAATTTCAAAGCTGTACGAATTACATCACATTCTTCTATACTATGTAGTAGAACATTATTATGCGTTATAATATTAGCATAATCGAATCCAGGACAGATTAGCTAGATTAAAAATAAAGAAAAGATAACAATGTTTGTTTTAAATTTGATGAATTTTGTAAGGAAATTTAAAAGGTTTAACTATGTTTTCAACCTACATAATGTCATAAGAATACAGTGCTTATCAGAATTTTGTTACATATTAAGTTGAAACGTTTCAAATAGTCTCATAAATTTTTAGTCTAAATCACGAACTGATTTTGTTTATACTACCATTGAAAACAGGTTATGAATGGACTGGCGTTTATGATTGCACCATATCGTGAATTGGTTCAATTTAGACATTAATACAGTTGGATGCCATTTCAGTGGTTTAGAGTTGAATCATTCACGCACGAGATTGAAGATTTCGAGTTTTGTTCTCAAATGCGAGATTATGGATTCATGTTTTAAGGGGCCCCATATTAGGTTGGAATAACTATGCAATGCGACTAAGTTTTCAGCAGTGGCCTAGTAAGATCAATCTTACAATCTCCACAAATGTCCCTAAACTAATAACCTCAGATTTATTGAAACATTGGCCGTACGAAAACTCAAACCTCCAATGTGTTCGAGAAAATTTGTATTAATTTAGTCTTAGCATCCAAAATGATTTGATTTGTATTCTTTCACCTGACATTTTTTTGTCTAATGTGACCTGTATTTCTGATATGATGATCTTAAAGTGTTGATGTGTGACCAGCTTGGCGCGGTATATTGTGAAACAAGAGTCAAAAAGAAAACTTTGTAATTGTTTTTCATTTAAAATTCT